TTCCAGTGCAGAGCTACCCCTCTCACAGCCAGCTCAGGCTCTGTTCCTCCTCGTCTCAGCAGGCCCCCTCTCCTCTAACCACTTGTAGACACTGGCCTAACATTGAACACCACATAAAGGAACAGGAAAAGGCCCCAGAAGGTGACTCATCTTTCTTTGTTGTGGGGTACTCAGTGAGACCAGATATTCCACGATGTCCTTGCCTGGGGTGTTTCAGGTTACATGACAAAGTTCATGTAGTCACAATCCATCACCCAGGCCTCTGGGGTTCCCTGTGAAGAGAACCTGGGGTGAGACCCTGTCCAATTCATACCCATGGTGTCCTATGAACTGGCCCACTGCAAATCAAGCCCAGGCCCTCCAAGAGTTCCTATGTGAAATGCTGCTTTCTGGATATTCTTCAAGAAATCTTTGCTTACCCTAAGGTCAGGAAGATAGCCTCTGTTTTCTTCGAGAAGTTTTCTCGTTTTAACTTTTACATTTAGGTCTGTGATTTATCTCAAATTAATGTTTGTGTATATTGTGAGCTGGGTGGAAGTTCAGTTGTTTCAGATCAATGTGTTGAGAAGATTTTCCTTCTCCCATTGAATTGCTTTGGCACCATGGTTGAAAATTGACTGTGGGTCTGTTTATGGATTTATTTGTGGATTTTTCACTATATCAACTACTACCGCAATAATAATAAAAATAATAACAAAACAATTTTACTTTTAAAATGGGAAAAATATATGAATAGATAATTCACAAAGGAATGTAAGAATGACCAATAACCATTTGAAAACATGCTCAACATCATAGGTCATGAAGGAATTCTATATTAAAGCTACAATGAGATAATTGCATCAAAATGACTAAAATTAAAAAGTCAGACAACACCAAATATTGATGAGAATGTGGAGTAATTGATACTCTTGAACATTGTTGGTGGGAGTGTAAAATGGTACAATGACTTTGAAAAGTAGACTAACCATCTTCCATAAAATGAAAAATACACCCGTCCTATGACCCAGCAATTCCACTTTTACACGTTCACCCAAAATACATGAAAACACATGTTTATACAAAGACTTATACAAGAATGTTCACAGACTTATGACCCAGCAATTCCACTCCTAGGCATATACCCAAAAGAATTGAAAACAGAGACTCAAATACATACTTGTACGTCAACATTCATAGCAACATTATTCACATTAGCTAAAAGGTGGAAACAACCCGGGTGTCCATGGACAGATAAATAGATAAACAAAATGTGGTATATACAGACGATGAAATATTATTCAGCCAGGCCGGCCCGGTGGTGCACTGGAGAGTGCGCCGCTTGGGAGCATGGCGGTGCGCCCGCTGAGGGTTCAGATCCCATGTGGAGACCGGTTCCCGCTCACTGGCTGAGCGTGGGACGGGCGCAACACAGAGGGTTGCGATCCCGTTACCGGTCAGTAAAAAAAAAGACAAAAAGAAAAAAAAAAAAAAGAAATATTATTCAGCCATAAGAAGGAACAAAGTTCTGATACATGCTACAATACAGATGCACCTTGAAATCATTACACTAAGTGAAATAAGCCAGACACAAAAAGTAAATATTGTATGATTTCACTTACATGAAATATTTAGAATGGGCAAATTCATAGGGGCAAAAGTGTGCATTATGTCCTGTTTCAAGAATTTTCAACTTTTAGGCATTAGGTTTACTAAACACCACATCTGCCTATTTACTCAAATTATTTCCTTTGCTTACAGCTTTTTGTGGTACCCAATTTTCCTGATAGCTTATATACATTATTACCTGAATTTCATTAAAACCACAAGCAGTCACTTAAATGTCAAAATTATTTTTTTCTTTACAGTAATTTTAATTTAGATTTGCTTGTGTTTTGTCCTTGCTTATGTTTTGAGAGGTCCAGTTACCTGCCAAAGCCTGAAAGTACAGAATATTTATTCTTATCAATGTCTTTTCTACACCAGCATTCAGAATTACTAGTTGTCATTTCCCTGGTGACAGTTTTATTTACATCTTTTCTAACCTCTTGGTCAGAAGTTATTACCTTGGTGTAGTATATTAGGATAACTTCCTCTATGAATGAGACTACCCTTTATTTTTCCTTTTCATCCCACCCTAGTACAGTGAGGTCTGAAAAAATACTCTTGCCCAGGCGCACAGTTTTCTCAGTACCTGGTTACCATTTCTACTATCTAGTAATCATTCTTTTGCTTAAAGTACAAATTCCAGAGTATATTGAGATTAACATTCCCTGGTTGTACTTTGTCAATAGTTTCCTCATTGCTGCAGTATATTGGTGTAATTGTCACGGGCTTAATTTAAGAGACATCTCACCTGTAGATCCATTTGTCACCTGGAAATGCTGCTTCTTGCCACCTACAATTCATAATCTTGAGCAAATTGAAAAGCTTATAACAGTAATAATTTGTTAATGTGTTGCCATGCTAAAACTAATTGAAATGTACAACTGCAGTAAGAAACATAATTTCACAAATGCGAATAAATGACATCTCAGGACATGTAGAAAGTGAACTGGACTAAAGCTCCTCACCCCACTTAATTTTCATAGCTCTTCAGAATGTATCTTTTGGGGATGTGGTGTTATTTATTAAATAGCATTTTCTTTTAAAAACAAAACAATTCCAAGAAAAGTTTTTATACCTGTTTAGGAACACTGTATACGACAAATATTAATTTGTTATTAACACAAAAGTGAAATGAGCTCACATTTGCCATCCTGATGTTTGTGTTACCCAAAGAACTACAGATTCAGACTGTTATATGAATGTGAGACTCACTGCCAACTTGAAGATGTGAACTTAAATAAACACTTTTATACAATTCAAAAGAAAAAAAAAAAAAAAAGGAGTTCTCAGAAGCAGTTTGCCACCCAGAATGTAAATGCAGGAGAGGACAGCAGGCCATTGGGGAGGCCACTGTGGTCTGACCCCTCACGCTCCACTTTACCTTCCTTCTAGTTGGGCGGTTGGAAAGCTACACTCACGCTTCCCAAAATTCATCGCCACGTGTGAGACCGCAAGGCCATCTTTCTGCCCCCTTCTGACTGTTTTTACAGGCAAGCAAGGTCATGAAAATGTGGGCTATGGCGGCAGGAGCTTCTTAAATCTGGCTTTCCAACCCCTAGATGACAGCTTCTTCACATGTGGTTTTTGCACTCTGAGCTTCGGGGACAGCCTCAGACACAATGGTGGTGGGGACATTCTGAACTGCTCTAAGTGTATCCCCTGAGTCCCAATCTAGAACCAGCTCCTTCAATCCTCCTTCAGTTCGTAAGCACCTAAT